CACACCCAGAAATCTAGTACTATATGATTTCCTAAACAGTAGATGGAAAATACATTGGAAAAAAAGTAAAATGTGTAACTTTATCTTTGACTTCATTCTGAAATGAATACAGGAATCTAATTCTTGTAGGTATCTATCTAACTATTTTATTTTTCTATTGACTCTATATATTGGCTTCAACTCACTCTGTTTTGAATACTAATGTTCCAACTAACTATATACAATGACTTCATTCCTGTTACAGTGAATTGTATCTCATTTACAGTGAACAATATCTCATTCTATAAATGGTTCCAGACCCAAGTCATGACTATTCTGCCTTCAAATTCAAAACTATAGTGTTACTTTTTAATCATTCATTAACAATTATTTTTTAATGCTTAGGAGTCCTGGTGTCTTGCTGTAGGATAATGCACTGGACTGCAAGGTTAGTTTGAACTGCAAGGTTGAAGTTTACAGGGTTGCTATGAGTTAGAACTGACTCGACAGCACTTAACAACAACAATAACATTTTCTTAGCACCATTTGCTTTTTACACAGATGTACTGAGAGCAGAAAATACTGATTCAGTCAAACTCTCTAAGGATCTCTCTAGCCTTTATCAATGACAGGGAGGGAAATGGAATAGAGTGGGGTGATTTAAACGGATTTCACATTGATTAAAAATGTCCGAGTTGGAAAGGCAAGGTACAAGGTAACTAAATTTTACCACTCTAGGAAATACAGAGTCCTGGTATGATTCTGTAGGATAAGCACTGAACTTCAAATTTGGAAGTTCCAATCCACCAGCTGCTCCCCAGATAACCTATGTTATTGTTGTTGTTAAGTGCCGTCGAGTTGGTTCCAACCCATAGCGACCCTGTATAGGGTTTCTGAGGAGTGACTGGTGAGCTTGAACCACCGACCTTGCAATTCAAACGGCTTTGCAGTCTGGCGCATTAACCCACAGTGCCACACCAGAAGGTCACTAAGAGTCGGAACACAATCCATGGCACTTAACAACAATAACAACCAAGAAATATGTTGCATCAAGTTCTTTTCTATATTAAATAATATAGGATTTATAAACCACAAATTTTTTGTAATTCAGAATTCAACATGCTTTCAAGCATAATATGTCTATTGTTCTGGGGAGTATGCACTATTGAAAATCTGAACATCATAGAAACTCAACTTAAGACCTAATGTTGCTTAGTGGATGATGTTGTTGTGTGCCATAGAGTTGACTCTAACTCATAATGGTCCTATATGACAAAGTAGAACTGTCCCCATAGGGTCTTTGTTGTTATTGTTAAGTGCCACGGAGTTGATTCCAACTCATAGCCACCCTCCATAAGGTTACCAAGGCTTTTTAAATCTTTGCAGGAGCAGAAACCCTCATCTTTCTCCCGTGGGATGGTTGGTGGGGTCAAACCACAGACCTTGTAGTTGGCAGTCCAGTACTTACTGTATGGAACCACCACACTCCTCCATAGCGTCTTAGGCTATAATATTTAAGGGAGCAGATCCCTAAGTCTTTTCTACAAAGGAGTAGGTGGGGGATTCAAACTACCAACCATTCAGTTAGCAGTCAAGCATTTACAGATTGTGCCACCATTGCTCCTTTTCTAGTAGATTGGTTGTTAAAGCCATTGAGTCAGTTCCAACTCATAGCAACCCTCTATAGGGATTCTGAGGAGCGGCTGGTCAGTTTGAACTACATACCTTGAGGTTCAAACCGACCTTGTGGGCCATCGCATTATCCTGCAGCGTCACACCCAGACTCTTTTTTAGTTGATGTTATTGTGTTGTTAAGTGCTGTCAAGTTGGTTCTGACTCATAACAACCCTGTATAGGGTTTCCAAGGAGCAGCTGGTGAGCTTGTGTGGTACTGTGGGTTAATGCACTGGACTGCAAACCTTTGAACTGCAAGATTGGTGGTCCAAGCTCATCAGTCTTTCCTCGGGAACCTTATACAGGATCACTATGAGTTGGAACCGACTTGACAGCACTTAACAACATAACAACCATGATGTATTATAGAAGATCTTACTTCTTTATTTTTAAGCTACATAAAAGCTATATCCTTTCTATGTGAAGAAAAGAAAAATACATCCTGATCTTTTAAAAATTCAAAGAACATAAGCCAAAAAACCCTATATTAAATCATGTCACAGAGCCCAAAAGGGGCATGTGAACTAACATAATGATAGCTCCATAGTCTCAAATAATTTCATTTACAATTTTAAGCCTTTACCAAGAACTTACCAGTAAAAACAGATTTACTCAGCTCTCCAAATGACCCTAGATTCTTTTTTCTTTACTGGTTTCAGAATCCACATTTTCATTAGCAGGGCAGTACATGAAGTCCTCTGCAATCTGACAGTGGAATATAAACTTTCTGTAATCCCTACTCTCCATGTCAGAAACTGAAATAGTGAACCAAAACATCACTCACATTCTCCTCAGGTCTCTCCAAGCTCCTCTCTGAGGCACCTTCATAGGAAGTTACCCCCAGGTATGGAACACTGAGTGTAGAACCTAAATAGAAAAAACAAAAAGATGTGGATGAATTCAGTCCATGATCAATTAGAGTTTATGTCAGGATATAAACAACTAACTTCAAAACCATCTCTACAAGCCATTTACTTTTTCCTCCTGGAAATTCTAGACGTTATAACCTCAAGAAATAATTATGGCTCATTCATGCATTCATTTATAAAACAATAATTGAGCACTTACTATATGCCAGGCTCTGTAAGGTACTATGGATGCAAAGACAAATTCCTAACCTCAAGTAAAAGGGGCAAACAATGAAATTGGAAACTCTGCCAGAAAGGGGAAATAGTTGAAGGTATAAATTAAATGAGATAGGCCATAAATTGATCATTGTTGAAGCTGGGATCTCATTATGTTATTCTATTTTTGTATGTATTTAAATTTTCCCACAAAGAGAAGACTTAAATTTTTAAAAAAGAATGCAACTACTAATTTACACAAAATATAGAGGTCAAAAGAATATGTTAATCTACATCATAAGAATGCAATCAGAAATAACCCAAAACCTTATAGGAAAAATTACCTGGCTCATTCAATAAATTAATTGCAAGAGAAAAAACAAGAAATAGAGAAGGAAATCAATAGATTTCTTTCCAATGAAGACTTTAAAACCTATTTTACAATAAAACATGTATAAATAAGCTATAATATTAGGAATATACGTATAGCATTAATAAAACTATTTAAAAGTGTAAACATACCCACTATAAAAGCGAGGATCATGGTAGTCTCAGGAGAATGGAAAACATTTTGTTTGGAAGAAGGCACATGTCTAATGGAGTTAGAAAGGTTCTACCTTTTGACATAAGCAGTAGTTACAGACTATTGGTCTTAAAATAATACACCAGGTTGTAGAATTATTTTAAAGAAGTATTCTGTACTTATATTTAACAATAAAAGTTTTAAGTACCCAAAACATAATGGCACAGAATAAGTAAACCTAGATTAGAGAAAAAGGAGAAATTTCATTCTCTTAATACACCCTTGGAAACCCTGTACAGGGTCGCTATGGGTCGGCTCCGACTCGAAGGCACTTAACAACAACAACAACAATATACTTGAACAATATATGAGAAGAGAGAAACCTGATATTCTTAAACTATGAGCTGAAGAAATATGTTTGCTTGTTTGAAAGATTGTCTTAAGGTGTAAATAATTTCAAAAGTACAATGAGTAAAAGCACAAAAGCATACCTCCCAATGTGGCGGTATCCTTGACAGGAACTGGAGACAATTCAGGGCTTGGGGAAAAAGTGTTCAAAATTAATAAAATGGTAGTAGAGATGTGAGAGTTTATTTTGGTGTTTGTTCTCCCAAAGGGAAATTATTAGATTTCCAAACAAGAATTCTCAAACCAAAGTACTGAGAGAAAAAGTAAAAGAATTAAAAAATCATCTTCTTAATTTATTTATTCTATGTTTATTGATGTCTATTCAACTAGCACGACTCTACTCAGAACATTCCCCTGGTTACTACTGTACCACCATGCTTTATTCTTCTCAACTTTTATCAAGATTTGAAATTATTTTGTTCATTTATTTATCTACTCATTCATTATCTGTCTCCACTGCCTTAATCCTCTAAAACTGCACTGTCCAATATGGTAAACACTAGGCACATATGGCAATTTAAATTAACTTAAAACAAATATATTTTAAATTTCAATTTTGTAGTCACGCTACCCACAGTTCAAGTATTCAACAGACACCTGTGGCTAATGTCAATTGAATTGGACAGTGCAGTAAAGAACATTTCCATCATCATAAACAAGTCTATTCATCTTTTTTTGTTGTGTTGTTAAGTACTGTCAAGTCAGTTCCAACCCATAGTGACCTGTATAGGTTTTCTGAGGAGCAGCTGGTGGCTTTAAACTGCTGATCTTGCAGTTCAAACTGAGTTTCTGGTCCAGCACATTATCCTATAGCACCACACCAAGACTCTGTCTATTCAGCAGGACTGAATTAAAATCTAACCTCCATAGATTAAGGACTTTTTCTGCCATATTTCTACTTTAGCATCCCTGCCTATAACAGTACTTGCCCTTTAAACAAAAACTAAAAAAACTACCATCATGTCAAGCCTGAATAACATCAATACCACATAGGGTTTCTGAGTGCAAATTTTTACTAAAGTAGAAAGTCTCATCATTCTCCCTTGTATTGATCGGGGTGTTTGAACCACCAAACTTGCAGTTAGCAGCCAAATACCTAATCCACAGAGTCACCAGGGCTCCTTACCTTCCCTTTAGTAGACATTAGATATATATTAGTGGAATGGATGAATAAATAAATACCACACTCATTGGTCAATTTGTCATTCTGTGGTGGCTTGCATGTTGCTGTACTACTGGAAGCTACACCACCAGTATCTTAAATACCAACAGGGTCACCAATGGTGGACAGGTTTCAGTCTGTCCAGGCAAAGATAGACTGAGAAGAAGGAGAGGCAGACTACTTCTGAGTGTTAGTCACTGAAAACCTTATGAAAAGCAGCAAAATATCCTCAGATAAAGTACTGGAACATGAAAATATTATGAATTGTTGTTGTTGTTGTCAGGTGCCATCGAGTCGGAACCAACTCATAGCTACCCCATGCACAGCAGAACGAAGCAATGTCTGATCCTAGGCCAACCTCACTACCACTGCCACACTTGAGTCCATCACAGAAGCCACCTGGCTGATCCATCTCGTTGGGTGTCTTCCTCTTTTTCTCTTACCCTCCATCTTACCCAGCATGACATCCTGACAATAGCACCAAAATATTGTCAGCTATAGTGCCAGAAATGAGCCCCTCAATTTGGAAGGCACTCAAAATATGACTTGGGAAGAGCCGCCACCTTAAAGCAGAGTTGAGCATGATGATGTGAATGGAGTAAAGCTTTCAAGACCTTCATTTGTTGATGGAGCACAATGGAAAATGAAAACAAACAGCTGCAAACAGCCATTAATAATCAGAACACAGAATGTAGGAAGTATTAGACATTGTCAAAAATGAAATGGAATGCATAAATATTGACATCCCTGGCATTAGAGAGCTGAAATGGACTGGTATTGGCCATTTTGAATCTGTCAATAGTATGGTTTATTATTATGAAAATGAAAAACTGTAAAGGAATGGTGTCGCATTCATCATCAAAAAGGTCATTTCAATATCTATCTTGAAGTAAAATGCTGTTTTGATAGGCTAATATCCGTACAACTACAAGGAAGACCAGTTTTAATCAAATTTTAATCGAGGATACCGCAACATTGGGAGGTATGCTTTTGTGCTTTTACTCATTGTACATTTAATCACTAATGCCAGTGATGATGAAATCGAAGAATTCTCCCAACTTCTTTAGTTTGAAATTGATCAAACATATAATCAGGATGTTATTATCAATAACAAAGAGAAAGGATCAGTAGTTGGAAAAATGGCCTTGGTGACAGAAATGATGCTGGAGAAACATATGAAAGAATTTTGAAAGACCAATGACTTATTCATTGCAAATACCTTTTTCAAACAACATTAAAAAGGTGCCCTCATACACATGGTCCTCACCAAATGGAATAAACAGAAACAAAATTGACTACATCTGTGTAAAGAGATTGTGGGAAAGCTCCGTATTATCAGTCAAAACAAGGCTAGGGGCAGACTGTAGAACAGACCATCAATGGCTTATATGAAAGTTCAGGTTGGAGCTGAGTAAAATGAAGACAAGTTCATGAAAGCCAAAATATGACCTTGAACATATCCCGCTTGAATTTAGAGATCATCTCAAAAACAGATTTGATATATTAGACACTAATGACCAAAGAAGACCAGAAGGGTTGTGGGATTGCATCAACAATATTATTCAGGAAGAAAGCAAAAGGTCATTAAGAAGACAAAAAAGAAAGAAAATACCAGAATGGACGTGAGAAGAGACTCTGAAGCTTGCTCTCCAGTGTAGAGATGCCAAAGCAAAAGGGATAAATGAGTAAGTCAAAGAACTGAACAGAAAATTTCAAAGGGCAATTTGAGAAGACAAAATCAAGTATTATAATGAAATATGCAAAAACATGGAGTTAGAAAAACAAAAGGGAAGACCATGATCAGCATTTCTCAAGCTGAAAGAGCTGAAGGAAAAAATTCAAGCCTCAACTTGAAATACTGAAGGATTCTGTGGGCTAAATATTAAATGATGCAGTAAGCATCAAAATTAGATGAAAGGAATGCATAGTCACTGTACCAAAAAGAAATGTTCAATGTTCAACAATTTCCAGAGGTACCCTATGATCAGGAATTAGTGGTATTGAAGGAAGAAATTTAAGCAGCACTCAAGGCACTGGAGAAAAACAAGGCTCTGGGAACTGACAGAATAAAAAGTGAAATGTTTTAACAAACTGATGCAGCACTGGAGGTGCTTACTAATCCATGTCAAGAAACTTGGACAACATCTACCTGACCAGCCAATTGGAAGAGATCCATATGCATGCCTATTCCAAAGAAAGGAGACTCAACAGAATGCAGATATCATCTAACAATATCAGTAGTATCACATGCAAGTAAAATTTTGATGAAGATAATTTTTAAATGATTGTATCAATAGGGGACTGACAAATATTCAAGCCAGATTCAGAAAAGAGCATGGAATGAAGGATATCACTGATTACGTCAGATGTATCTTGGCTAAAAGCAGAGAAAACCAGAAAGATGTTTACTTATGCTTTATTGACCAGTTATGTGAATCATGACAAGCTATGGATAACATTGTGAAGAATAGGTATTCCAGGACACTTAAATGTGTTCATGATGCACCTGTCCCTAGAGGAAGAGGCAGTCATTCGAACAGAACAAGGGAATCCTGAATGACTTAGAATCAGGAAAGGTGGTGCCAGAGTTGTATCCTTTCACCATATTTATTAAATTTGTATGCTGAACAACTGAGGATTATATGAAGAAGAAGGTAGCATCAGGATTGGAGTAAGAGTCATTAGCAACCTGTGATATGCAGATGACTCAGCATTGCTTGCTGAATGCAAAGAAGACTTAAAATACTTACTGATGAAGATCAAAGACCACAGCCTTCACCCAGCATGCGTTACACCTCAGTGTAAAGAAAACAAAAATCTTCACACTGGACCAATAAATAACATTATGATTAATGGAGAAAAGATGGAAGTTGTCAAAGACTTTAATTTGCTCCAAACTGCAATCAATACTTGTGGAAGTAACATTCAAGAAATCAAATGACATGTTGTATTGGGAAACAGTTTTGTGGTCACGAAGAAAAGAAAGGAAAGCCCAATCAAAGCAGAAGGGTTACAGTGACCAAGGAGGTATGAAAAGCACAATAAAGTAAAGGTTCCAAATTAACACTAGAGTGGCATGTTATGAAGAAATGTAAGAAGAACCAGTTCTCTCTTGGGCCAGGATAGCAAGTTAGTTAAACTGTTCTCCATATCAAAATCAAATTTAATACTTTAACTCAGCAAGCATTCAGAAAGGAGAAGTTGGCCTACTCTAGTGGAACTAGATTTCACCTTGCTAAATTCAAAATAACATTATTTTAATGATGGTAAGAAGGAAACTCTGTAATTCAAATCACCTGTCAAACACATCAATATTCAATTCCCTACCTTCCTATTCTCCTTTCAAAACAACAAGAACCCTTTCATATGGTCTTATTAGGTATGCCTCCTGCAAGAATCCATTAAAATGTCACTCATAACAGAACTACAACACAGTTGTATTGTTTGGACACAGAAATTGCTACTTTATTTCTAGGCCAAACCACAAATTTTAAATAGCCCAGCTAAGACCTTGAACTTAATATCAACAGAAAACAACCTCCTACCGTCTTGTTTCCTCAGTACACTATTCATTCTTCACCACTCTTGCCTAAGCATGTCAGTGGAATTCAGATGAGATTGTGTCCAACGATGTACATAAACACATGGAATATAAATTTTTAAACAATGTGAAACAAGCCAAGCATAGGTTTGCTTATCCAGATTACCATTCCTTTGACAATTTTCTACCCTTTGTTTTGTTCTTGAGCCTGTTACTGAATCAGTAAAAAGCAAAAGAACTCCAAGCAAGAAGCTGGAAATGCAGTGGTAGTCTTAGCTATATCATGAACTTTGTGTATGACTGGAGAAAATACCTTAGTTGCTCTGAGCCTCTGGAACCTAATCTTCAAAACAGGAACACCTACCTGCCTTACCTATTTAATGAAAGCTAAGGAAAATACTATATTCTGAGAATTATGAAAACATGA